TATACACAATTGTCTAATTACACAATCTGATCCATGTTTCCAGTAACAAAAGTGCCTAAGATGCTGTACAGTTGGACTCTGCACATTTGCAAGATACTGTCCTAACCCTTTTAATGAAATCCCCAAATGATGTCATGAGGGCAAACAAATTAACTGACTATCTGATGCATAATCATCAGTGCAGAAATATGGTACAAAATCTCATGGGCCATCATACATCGTATTTGCTTCAGATAAGCATGCAGCTTGTTCTAAACCAATAGTGGCGAAACTGGCCCCCCCTTCAGATGATGATAGACTGCAGTTCCTGTCTGCCGCAGCCAATATGATTAGCAGTGCCACAGGTTTCCCACCCCATCCTAAACTAATGCTATGAAAGTAACTGACATCTTTGTTCAAGTAAACACTTGGCATAGAAATATAAGCAAAGCAGTGCTGGATTAGATGTGATTTTAGCCCAGTCTCACACTCTCAGCTATTATCAGGTGGAATTGAATATTAAAGGAGATGAAAATGTAGCTTCAGACATGTGCAGCTTGGAGTCAACTGTGGATCCATTAATTCTGGCACCATTTTTTGTCCATGCATATGTGTGTGCATAATTCTGCTGATCTTCATTAAAATGGCATAGAAAACCAACTATCTTCATTTGGTCATACATGCCATGCCTACTATTGCAGCATTCTTAATTTCATGGAAGGAGGATTGAGTTTAACAGAGGGGGTTATCTTCCTCCTTGAGGCAATGTGTGCTCCATAAATCTTGCACACATGATTTATTTTTCTCATCAATAGATATTTTTAAAATGTGACAGCTTATGTTGCATCTTTGGTAGGAACTAGGCTTCTCCAGATTTAAGATATTTTATGGAGACTACATGTTTATTTTGCATAAACATCAATAATATATAGGAATCTGTATCTCTGAACTTTGGCTGTCAACATTGAAACATTGGCACCAAAACTTTGAGTTGAGTAGCCACACAGTTGTTTAGTTGCTGAACAATATAATTATATTATGGCCATTTACTCCAAGTTGCTTTGATACTGTTGTTACATGCCGTCAAGTCACCTCATACATACGACAGGTTGTATGAAACACTCTCCAGAGTGTCCTGTCCTCAACAGCCTTGCTTAGCTATTGTAAATTCAAGGATGTGGCCTCCTTGCTTTAATTCCAGGGAAATTGTGCTGTATATGAGTGATAGAAGAGCTGGACCCACTTACAAGGTTTTTCTCCACATACCAGCTGCCATTGGAACTTCATGCTGAGGAGAAAGGTCATAGTGCCAGAGTGACTTGAATTACGCAATATTAAAGCAGTGGGCAAATTTGAAAGTTGCTTTAATTCAATTTAATTTACTGAAAATGGTCAAGAAATACAGTTTTTAAACTAGTTTTTGTGTTTTTTAAAGTGGTTATTGTATAGTTTTAATTGTTGTGAGCCATCTTGGGTCTCATGTGGGGGGAAAAGTGGCATAGAAACAATATAAATAATTGCATAGTTTTATCAGAATCCATTTCGCAACTCACGTTCCAGAAATTTCTGATTTTTATATAAGAAACTGGTGTGGGATTTATTAATATTAGTATTAGTATTGCATGCAGTCAAATCAATTCCAACTTAATGGCAACTGTTTCTAGGTTTTTCTAGGTGCACAATGCTCAGAAGTAGAGATTGGCATGAAGCAGAAAAACAATGATTCCTTTTGATTCATGATTCGTAAAAATTAACAAAACACAAATTTTATGATTTTTTTTCTGATGAATTGATTCATTCAATTTTACTTAAAAACCCTATAAAACAGCCCTCCAAGCACCAAGATACACCAGAATCACAAAGAAGCTTCCCCTGACTCTCCTCTACAAGCCCCGAAAGTTTGGTGAAATTTGGGTTTTGGACATAGGAGTTTTACACCCACAAGGGCAGAACACTCAGAAAAGTTCACCCCAGGCACCTAAAGATACCAGAATCACAGAGAATCTTCTGTTGACTCTCCTCTACAATCTCACCAGTTTTGGTGAAGATTAGGTTTCAGAAATCCAAGTGATACACACACAATGTGGATCCCTTCAGGAAAGTGTCAGGTGGAGAGTCAGAGGAAGCTTCCCTGCAATTCCAATGTCTGGGTGCTTGGCGGGGCATTTTATAGCCCAACGAATCAAAAATCACTAAAAGATTCATTGATTCATATGAATATTAATTGATGAATTAGTAATTTTTTATTAAAAACTTCTAGCACTTATGAAAGAATTAAAAGAGTTTGGAGAAATGGTGGGCCTGAAAATAAACCATAGAAAGACAAAAATTCTATCTAAAAATGTAACATAAAAAAATAGATTACCTTTTGAATTCTCCAAATTTCCAGGAGGGAAAGAAAGTAAAATATCTTGGAATAAACATTATTTAAAAATCAAGTACCTTAATTAAAGATATTTACCTGAAATTGATGGAAGAAATAAAGAAAGAGTTTACTAGACGGGGAAAATTAACAGGATAGCAACAGTTAACATGAATATCCTACCAAAGTTGATCTTATTTCAAAACATTCCAGTGATTTTGAAACAGTCAATATTTAAAGACGTTGACCAGCTTATTTCTAAGTTTGTTTGGCAAGGGAAGAAAAAAAAGGATAAAATTAAATGCATTTCAGGATAAGAAACAGAGAGGAGGAATGGGTCTCCCAAACTGGCTGCTATATTGCAGGGCCGCCTCATTAATGTGGACCAAAGACTGGATTTTATTGGAAAATCAACGAAAATCTAAATTAAAATTGAAAGGTCAAAAAGGATAAAATTAAATTCATTTCAGGATAAGAAACAGAGAGGAGGAATGGGTCTCCCAAACTGGCTGCTATATTGCAGGGCCGCCTCATTAATGTGGACCAAAGACTGGATTTTATTGGAAAATCAACGAAAATCTAAATTAAAATTGAAAGGTCATGATTTGAAATGGGGATGGCATGCCTTTCTTTGGTACAGCAGAGTGAACAATTTCAAACAATTTAATAATCATATTTTGAGAAAATCTTTACTATGGTCTTGAATAGAGATGGGGGTATTCGTATACGAATATGAGTATCCCAGCATAGGTGGAAATAATGAGGGTCTGGACCCATGGGGATGGACTGTGTCCACTCATAATGCTGCTGCCGGCTCCACAGAGGTTTCCTATCGCGCCATTCTTCACAATGGATTAGCCACTCTGTGACCTGGCAAAGAGGTTTGTCATCCTGCCTCCTGCCAGGAGTGGTAATTGATTGTGGACAATGGCCCGATAGGAAGCCTCCACGGATCTGGCGGGAGTGACAAATTCACGAGCTGACTCTCGTTATTTCCACCTGTGCGGGGTGGAAATTTGTATTTGTATTCGTATACAAATACCCCTATCTCTAGTCTTGGACTAAAATTCAAAGACAGATAGAGGTATGTCAGAATACCATATTGGGTAACACCAGTAGAAACATTTTCTCTTTTGAACTTAAGAGATAACAAGAAAATCTTAAGATATAGAGAAGTACTAAAACCAGACGGGACATTGAAAAACAAAGATGAATTAGAAGCGCAAGGATTTAATATGGATGGGTGGTCACATTCTCAGTTAATTTCAAGATGTGCTAAAGATAAGCAGCAAGGTTTCTATGTGGACAATACTTTTGACAGAATCCTCCTGGATACCAAAGACAAAAATATTAAAGGCCTATATAATTTTTTATTAGATTTTGATACCCAGGAGGGAGGTGGTTAAGGAATGTATGATATGGAAAAACATTATAAAACTTTCCAAATCAGTAGCATTTAAAGAAAAAATATAAAATGTTTTTCAGATGGTATATAACCCCCACAAAACTAGCCAAAATGGATGTAAAAAATTCAGACCCATTCATTTTTTAATTCACGCCCATTTCTACTCAGAAGTAACCGTTATCGTTACCTTCTTCTAGGGGTCCTCTGAGGCTATGCAGTTTGCCCATAGCTACACAAGCTGGATCTTCTCCCAGGAGGCACAGTAGGGAATCAAACTCCCAATCTTTGGCTCTGCACAGGAGTTCCCAGTGGTTTAGCTATCTTTAGCCAGATACCTAAAACACTGGGAAGGAAGCATTATAACAGGACTGACTTAATTAATTTAATGTGAATTTGTGTTGTCACAAGATTTCCTTTACTGAATTGAAGACGTTTTCACATGGCCATAATTTATCTCCCTTTCACCCTTTTCATTTTATATGCTTGCCTCCATCCTTTAAAAGAAAGTGAATGTTCCTAGCCCAACTATTGTCATTTCTTTACACAAAGATGTAAACAACCTCTATGTTTTTATTAGTGGTTGGAATTTAACATGTTTTCCCTTTTGTTATTTCTTCACTATTTCAAAGAAAAACACAAAAATAAAAATTATATTCAGTATATTAATAGTAATAATGTGCCGTCAAGACAATTCTGATTTACGGTGACCCTTTTCAGGGTTTTCCAGGTAGAGAATACCCAGAAGTGCTACACCGTTCCATTCTTCTTGGGGCATCCTGGGACTGTTCTATATCCAGTTTCCCCAGAAAGTTTGAAACTCTGCCAAAAGCAGCTGCCCCTTCTGCCATATCCCATCCCCTGCTCATTCTCATCAACCAGTCAACACCCATCACTACTCATGAGCATTCCAACAGCTTTCCACCAATCACTCCAGCATTTTTTTCCATTCATGCAGTCCCATCATGCATACATCTATATACACAACAACATACCAACATTATATATCACAGCTATACATCCAAACTTCACCCATATTGGAACTGCCACAGTAGGCTTTTTTCCCAGTTGAACAAAGTGTAGGTCTCTGTAGCTGTTGGGGTGGTGGTATTGAAATTCCCATAGTTGCTCCTAGGGAATTATTGGAGAATTCTGGGAGTTGTAGTCCAAAAAAGAAAAAAAGAGCATACCCTAAGAACAGTGTCCAAATTATCGGAGTATATTTTTTACAAAAAACTTTTCAATGTTTCCTTACAGCTGTTGGTGAATCAGAAAGTGACATCTACATGAGATTCATGAGGTCACATAAGTGTTACGATATTGTTCCAACAAGCTCAAAGCTTGTAGTCTTTGACACTACACTACAGGTGAGTGGTGTTTTTTGGGTTTTTTTAAAGGATCCTTTTCCTTACAGCTAAGTTAATTGTGTTTCTAATAATATAAACATGACTTAATAGTGTTTCATTGTTTTCTATGAGACAAATGACCTTCTTTTGGGTACCTACCGTTACATATGTAGGAGCTTTTGAAGTCATAAAAAAGGGATGGATTTCCTCTTTAAATCCATCATACCACAGGTCTGTTGGCCTATGGAACGCCACTTTGTTTCACATGGAAGAGGGCAGATGACTAAAAGTATTTTATGAGATTATAACACTATCACTATCAAATGTAAAATGTCTGAAGTGCTGAACAGCTAGTGCCCAGTTCCTGTTCTGTTAAGTTTATAGCAATAAACTGCCAAATGATGGCAAGTTGGAAAGTACTGGGATGTCAGAAAAATGGAACATTTTAGTTTTGTTACTTTTGTTACTGTTTGTTACTACAGTACTGAAGCTTTGTTCATAGACCATCTGCAAACGTTCCTCACTCTTCCTTTCAAAAAAGAACCAGGGAGGACCTCAAGTTTGATTCACATATGAGTACTCCTTAGCAAAATGCATGTTTACTATGCAAGTCTTAATAGTATCAATTGTGGCCTTAAAATATTGATACTTACTCCAGAGAAATATTCATGTGCAGGATATCCCTTTAGTTATATGCTTTAAAAAGCAAAAAATAAAAGAGGAGATGTTAAGCTTGACAGGCCTGGTAACTTCTGAATGATTGCTCTTTCTAAGTCTGCTGCAGAGCACAACAAAATGGCTAATCAGCTGCTCTGAGACAGGATGAGACAGAAGTGCTTTTGTGCAGTCTCCAACTAGAATTATAGCCAGTCATGAAATCTCAGTGGGAAATTGCAGAACAAGGATGTCATAATAATGGAGTGCCCATTAGACGGAAATTTTCTCCCTATTTTGGAAACATTGGATTTCTAAAGTTGCAACACTCTATGAATGGCAGGATAAGACTCAAAGCTTAGATACACAATTCTGTTCTCTCTGCTGTAGGCTGCAGCTGTACAGTAGTTGTTGTAGAAGTCAGAGCCGTGAATTTCAGTTGGTCTTAGACTGCACTCTTGCTCAGTTTCTATAGCATATACAGTTTACGGCTTAGGGCTAAACCATACTTTGTAAATAGACATTTGTAAAAAACATGGATCAAAATTCAAAATCTTAAGTCGAAGGGAAGGCATTAGGATATATGGAATTGTATTGACACTTACAGGCTTTGGAATGCAATTCCCTGAGAAGCCAGTTTGGCCCCCTCCTCTTGTCCTTCTGTCATCAGATGGTGACCTTTTTCAGGCAGGCAGGCTTTTAAAGAATAAGTAGGGCCTTAAGTGATTTTGCATCTGTAGAATTTAGAGATTTTTAAATGTTTTAAAAAATGTCTTTAATGGTGTTTTTAAATTTATGTTTAGTCAGCTTTTAATGTTGTGCTTGTGATGTTTTTAATGGTCATATTGCGTGGTTTTAATTGAGCCACCTTGATTCTGCTGTGGGGAGAAAGGCAGCACTTAACTAAAATAAATAAATAAATATTGAAATATTGACTTATTGGTAAGGAGCTTGAGTAGTCTGGCATGGTGTTGGAAATCTACAGCAAAATTCCTGTGGTTCAAAAGTGCACAGATTTCCTGGAGTCTTGTTTTTTAAGACTTCTCTTTTTATTGTCATTATGCTCTTAGCAGCAGTCACACTGATGCTTAAGTAATTGGTGCATGTTGTTTTGTACAGTCACATTTTTGCATTATTTATGTCATCCTTGCTCTGTTTTGCAGAAAGGTAACTTTATACAGGGTATTTGTAGAAGCAGAGTCACTATAGCTCTGGCCATGTAACATTTGAGCCTTGATGAAGAAGGTAGAACATTATGATCTTCATTTTAAAAATGTATACCTAATGAAGGAATTCAGCGTACTGCCTTTCAAATAAATGGTCTTCGACACTACAGTTCTTATATTTTATGTAAAACTTTAAAGGCTTCTAGGCAGAGAGATTCTGATGCTTCCAATTATTATAACATGCTACAAATGGAATTACAGCTGATAGTTTATGTTTAAGAGATAGATGATACACACTGTGGATAGCTAAGTGACGTAGGCATCTGGCTGTGGAACTAGAGGTTGGGAGTTCAGTTCCCTACTGTGCCTCCTTTACAGGGGCTGGACTCAATGATCCATAGGGTCACTTCCAGTTCTGCAATTCTAAGATATTTCTCACTGTATTTCCTTCCCATTGAAAGCAAAGAGATTTTCAGCTTCATGATAGATAAGACTCTGGATCTTGCAAAGTTATTAAGATATCAGCTCACAAAATGTGCTTTGGGGCATCTGTGCCTTCTTTCAGGTACCACAGTCTTCCTGGGCTCAGACAAGTTCAGATCATTCCTCTTTCCAATTACTACAGTCTTGAACATTCTGACTCCCTTTTAAAGGTTGTCTGCTGTTGTGGTAGTCTTCCCACTTTGTGATATACCTACTCTTCTCTTGAGCATTAATAGCAGCCATGGTCTTCCAAGTGAGAAATTTGTTCTTACTGCATCTGCCTATCATTCTGTCCAAGAATGCCTTTTTGCAAGAGACTACAGTGTTTTCTTTATACTTCACTACACTCTTGAACATTCTGACTCCTTCTGTCCAAGAATGCCTTTTGGCAAGAGACTACAGTGTTTTCTTTATACTTAATAATGTCCTTGTGAGCTCCTAGGTTTCTACATTGTACTTCAGGAATATGCCTTGCAGTTTGCCACTCTTATGAGCATCAGAGCTACGAATATTACCTTTAAAAACGGTTACTTTAGATGTTGGCCTTTTTATGCTCTTACAGCTCTACCAGCTGTGGCTTAATATACTGCTCAGCTGTGGAAACTCACTGGGGTGTGAAACAGGTAAAACCAATCCTTAAATATCTCACTTAGCTGGTTGGATGGCTGAGTGGTTTAGGTGTCTGGCTGCGGAGCCAATGGCTGGGAGTTCAATTCCCCACTGTGCCTCCTATGAATAATGCCAGCCTAGATGGCCTTGAGCAAGCTGCACAATTCCAGGATGCCCCAGAATAAGGGAATGGTAAACCATTTCTGAGTATTCTCTACCTGGAAAACCCTGAAAAGGGTTGCTGTAAGTCAGAATTGACGGCACATGATTATTATTAAATATCTCACTTACTTTGAAAGCCCTATTAGAGTTACTGTAAATCATTTCCAACTTGATGGCACATAAAACACACATACACAACATTACTGCTAGTTATTATATTCAGAGAAAATGTAAAAGACACAGACACTTAGAATATACAATAATGTGCCAAAATCCCACCATATGACCCACCAAAAAAGCAATGTTGTAGTACTGAGTAAATCTTAACAGCGTTCTGTGTCTAAGTCGCACTGGCCATGTGACCACGGAAGATTGTCTTCGCACAAAACGCTGGCTCTATGGCTTGGAAACAGGGATGAGCACCGCCCCCTAGAGTCGAACACGACTGGACAAAAATTGTCAAGGGGAACCTTTACCTTTACCTAAATCTTAACTTACTATTTTTTTTAAAAAAAAATGATACGAGTCATTTTATTTTATAAAGGGAATGTTGAAATATTGTCATTTTTTGAAAGCTAGTGTTTTAAATGTAATGTTAGTACTTGCAGCATGTTATTTTTAAACCAGTTGGGGATTTTCTATTCTTTACAACTGCCACTGTACAAGAAATCAGGAGTTTCCTAGTTAAGGATGCCCATTATCCTTCACCAGAAGTGCAGTATAGATTCCTCCTTGTTGTTGTTTGTGAACTGACAAGAAGGGACTTCACCTCAAGATTTTGCTATACTTCATTCTGCACCTCTGGGTCTGGTGCATCAGCAGAGATATGTTAGCAACTGCAAGGGCAGCTGTCAGTGCTGCCAGTATTACAACAGGGTGAAACCAAGGTCACTATCGTTAGGAGATGCATTCATTCATGGCTATACATAGGAATGTGTTTATAGTATTCCCACCGTTTATGCTACTCAGTAAAAGTAATAGTAAGGGTACGATAAGACAAACTTCAATCTCTTGATGCTGTTATGGCTCTACCAGCTATGGTTTGATACACTGCTCCATATGTCTCAAAGGAAATTTCTCCACTTGCTACTGTGTTTTGGTATACCTATGTAGAGTCACAAAAAGGTGATGCACCAGGATATGAGCCTTCTGCATCTGACCACCTGGCAGATTTATTGAGCTCAGCCTTTTCCTGGGAGGTCTATGGTTTTGAGGTGTTTAGAAAGCCAAATAAGAGGAAAAAGAAAAAGGTCAAGTGATGCAATTTGTTAGTTTTCTAGATCCATCAGCAGGATAGCCCACCACACTGTGATACAGCCTCTTACCTTTTTCCTCTTTTTCAAGTTTCTAGGCTTGATAGTCTCCTTCATTAATGCTGATTTAACAACAATAACAAGCTTCCTGCTGGATAGTTTTGTGTGCATCTGTATTCTCATCCAGCAGTGAAGAGATTCATGAGGGACTCAAAGAACAAGACCTTTCTAGTCTCCCCATGCACTGCTGTCAAGGAGTCCTTTTGCTATGCTTAGTTTGCTGCCATGTCTTTTGACAGCAGTCTGTCCTTCTGAGGAAACATAATTCCAACCTGGCCTGTAACTCAAATCTCTTCCACTTAGGGTGGCTGTCTTTGTTCTTGCAAATTTGAGAATGAAACCAACCAGTGCTGTATACACTATTCAGTTGTGCAGCCTGATCTGGTTATGTCCACAAATCGCTCCATGTTTGTTAACCACCTCTAAGAAAGGAAATACATGCAAGAGCTGAAGAAGTGCCAAACACACCATCCACATTCTCCAGGCACAGCTGTTCCCTCAGATGTATGCTTCCCTGTCCAAATCCACAAAGAGATGGCAATGCTGTTTTGTAGATTTTCTATGGTTAAAAAAGGCAGAAAAAGTGGTTGTCAAACACAAGGAGATTGCAAATGAACAAATACATCATCAGGACCCTCTTTAAAATGTCATAAGCAATGTATGGCAATTTTGTATTAAAAACACTTTCTGAAGGTGCCCAGAATCTTAAGACAAACCCTATAATTGAAAAACAAAGATGTAGTATCTGAATTTCTGTTTTCCTGAAAATATGTCACTTTTTAAATATATACCTTATTGTCATACATAGTTTATTAATCTGGGTGAATCATAGCAAAAATAGTTACTTGGTTTTTGATTTGCAGCAAAAGCAGATAATTTTGGCTGAAAAAAATTGGTTGATTTTATTATAGGGTTTATAATAGTTTTATTATGCAATAAATGATTCCCATGACCTTGAATGTTTATGGTTACCAGATTAATGAAATATGAGAAAGGTGGTCCAGATTTTGTTTGTGTGTGCGCGTGCATGCATGTGTGCAACCCACTTCTTAGGATATCTGTTTAAAATGCTGTCTTACGGTTTGTCTCTTCTAGGTAAAGAAGGCATTCTTTGCTTTGGTGGCAAATGGTGTTCGGGCAGCTCCACTGTGGGAGAGTAAAAAACAAAGTTTTGTAGGTAGGATCATCTTTATTAGTTTAGAATTTTCTGGAGAGAGATAAAACCACTGTATTATCGTGGAGTGGATTTTTTTAGATTTGTGCATGTTTTGTTTCCCTTCAGTTTTGGTGTTCATCTCAAGAAATGAGAGTTGGCCTGGTTTACAAATGGGAATAATAGAAACTCACATTGATTGCATGCAAATAAACTCATACTCAAAATTTGAACTTTTCTCTTTGTCTTGTTACAGGAATGTTGACTATTACAGATTTCATTAATATACTGCATAGATACTATAAGTCTCCAATGGTAGGTACTAAAACATTTGCAATTGCAACAGTTTTCTGAGAGAAGGGTTGCATTTTCTGACAGAACTTCAAGGGTACCAATATTTTTGGCCATGATTGTATATAAATTTATAATTATGGATTGTTGGTGATGGAATCGAGTGTATGCTGCATTCTGTCTCAGATTATCAGTTCCTGATGTTTTAAACACAACCTCTGTATTTGAAAGTACCAGATATGAAACTTTTCTTAAATACTTTGTTGAAATGCACATAGGCATATATATCAACACTTGTTGGTATGTTCCAGCTCTCCTTTCATTCAGGTGTATAGTAATTGTAGAATTAAATAGATTAGAAAGAGACAACAAGGCTTCTCAGTCTGTGACAGAAATATAGTCTGCTATTGTCTTGGGTGATAATGTGATAATGATGTCATGGTGTTCACAGATATGTTCACTACTTTGATAGGAAAACTATAAACATTGAATATTTATAAACAAATGCAGCTTTTGTAGGACAATTAAGAGGTCTTTTAGGTGGTGAAAACTTTACAGAGGTCTTATGGATTGAAAGAGCTGATCAGTCAATGAAGCTGTTGAAAGTCTTAGACATTGACTAGAAAGAAGAATAGGCAGCAGGGAAACCAAGAGACAGGGATTTGGTAGTACAATAACTGAAAGAAGAAGGGAGATGGAGTAGATGCCAAGAATTAGAATCAAAAGATGAGGAAATCGTGTGTGCCCACAAGCTGTGGAACAAGGAACACAGTCGGGATTGCCAGCTTTTAAAATAGAAACCTTTTGGCAGTTAGCAGCAAGGCTAAAAACACAACCTGGCTAGTCGAGAAGTATGAGAAGTGTAACCCAACAGAAAGTTCTGTTCATCTGAAAAAATTTCCTTGTGAGACGCACAATTATTCTCTGTGCTATAGTAATAGTGTCTGCTTTTATGAGACTCCTGCAGATCAGTACCATCAACTATAACTACACCACAGTCAAAAGTAGAATCAGGTCATTGGAAATGAGTTGAGCCTTAGATTATAGGTCTGCCTTTTGACATGCATTCTGTGGTTCTAGCATTAAACAAGTATGAAATGTGTATGTTTTTTGTTTCTTTCTCATTGTGATGTGTACATAGGCTAAGATGGCCTCCCAGGCAATTTCTAATTGAAACATGCCCACATGTACACACGATAATCCTGGTGGCTGCTTTTGTTAGACTCTTGCTAGTCTGAGTAGTACAGTATGCTTGTTTAGGGGGCTTGGTCTAGCAGTAGTGAGTTGTACAGTGGTGCCTCGCATAGTGACGTTAATCCGTGCAGCAAAAATCGCTGCTAAGCGATTTCGTCGCTATGCGATTTAAAAAAGCCCATAGAAACGCATTAAAACCTGTTTAATGTGTACCTATGGGCCTGAAACTCACCTTAAAACAAAGATCCTCCATACGGCGGCCATTTTCGCTGCCTCTTATGCAAGGAATCTGTGCAAAAACACAGCGGGCGGCTATTATTTTGGAACCGCCATTTTGGAACCGCCGATCAGCTGTTAAAAATCTTCGTTTTGCAATGATCGGGAAGCGAAACAGGGACCCGATCATCGCAAAGTGAAAATAAACCATTTAAAACATCACAATGCGATCGCTTTTGCGATCACAAAATCTTCATCACTATGCGGTTTCGTCGCTAAACGGAGCGCCCGTTAAGCGAGGCACCACTGTATAAGCAAGGTTGCTATATATCTCCTCATGGAACCAATGGTAAGTAAGACCAACCAGCTGGTGCAGCTCTTTTCTGCCCACCTGCCTTTCTTCTTCACTCTGTAGTTATTGTACTCCTTGTGTGGTATGAGGTCACTATTGCACCAAGCAGTTTGGAGAGAGCTACCCTGTTCTCAATATGCTGCTTGAGACCAATTGTGCTTAAGGTGCATATACCTCCCTGTTTCTGCTCCTCCTGACCAATATATTTGTTTGCAAAATACAAACAGGAGAGTTTTAAGTGTGGCCGGGAAAATCTGATAGAGGAGGTTTTCTGATCTCTTGTCTCACACTGGACCTCCATATGCCGCAAAGCGTGTGCAGTCACAGTCCAAGGAGAAGATGTATCTGAGGAGAGTGGTCTCAGAGGACTAGGGACAGAGGAATCTGTGCCACTGGGCAAAAAGCGAATGGGTGTCAAAAGGGATATTGGAATCTACTGGAAGGGAGCCCAAAGGGGAAGTGGGACAGAATTTTGCTTTAGAGTGAGCTAACCAGCTAAATCTTGGGCTGCAGGTCTCTATAACAGATGCCAGTTACTTAGGTGCCTAGGATTCCACTGATGCCTTTAGGATGGTGCACAGGTGAGCTGTGCCCAGACCTGCTTCTGCCCTTCCCTTTCTCCACTATTTTCTGTGCCACAAAACAGCTGTGTACAGCTAAGATAACGCTTGGTTATGTTGAGGTGGTAATTCTGTGTCCCAGGTATGCAACTTTAAATTGCAGGAGGAGTCTGTTTTGACTTGAACGTTTATTCACCCTTTAAAATTCCTACCTAAAGAAACTAGATTTTGAAAAGAACTCTAAGTTTACTCTGAGGAGGGTTTTTTTTGGGGGGGGGGACATAGGAGCATCTGGTCATGTGAGCTTAAATTCTGCAGATGATTACCACCATAGTGAGAGCAAGGGTAGCCATGTCTGTGGATGGTAGCTGTTGCCTTCAGAATAGTGCCAGCCTGTACATTTCTGATACACTGATATATCTGTTGCACCTCTGTCCTAAAGCATCAACAGATCTCATTAGACCTGGCTAGTAGAAAAGTTCCTAGCTCTCCAAAATGTTACTGATGTCTTTTTTTATAGGACTGCTCAGACCTCAGTAACAATTTCTAGGGCAGTTATTGTTCAGAAATCTATATTTAGATTCCTCTAGATCCCATCTAGGCATTATTGAATCAGGCATTCTGAATACGCCTAGAGAAGCGTGCCAAGTCTCATCCTACCGCTATCACTCTGTGAATATCTTTGGCACCAGTGAAGAGAGGCTTTGGAAAATCTGGGTACTTGCTTGCTTGGAGGACCCACTGAAAATGTAAAGCAAGCAGTGATGGAACAGGGAAGGGATGGGTGCTCCTCCCTATGCAAGTTCAGAATCCTGAATTCAAAAACACCTGGAAGGTGCTTATGTCTAGATAGCATGCTGATAGCAATGATGGCAAGTCCTGTGGATTCTGACATACTTTTAAAAGGAATAGCAGCAATAAGGAATTAGTTATATTTTGATAATATTCTTCACTTGAAAAAGCTACTCTATAAAATACTTCTTAATTCTGTTGGAATGAAAATTAGTAGAAGCAGATTCTTTATTTTTGCACAAATCACTCTCAGTCATTGTATGCATAGAAGATGAGTAACCTTGCTCAAAGCTGGCTACTGAAGCCATGAATTCACTGAGCAGTTCTAATGAATTCCATCATGCAATTAATCATAGTATAAATTGAATTCTTTGGAGATGGAGAAAATCTTCCACACCATAGTTAGAAGTACTGGGAATATCCTGCAGGAGTTTGTACCCGGCCCCTTTTGTAGCCTGGTTCAGTTTTCTGTTTCTGGGTTTCTGCCAATCTGAATAGGATAAAGTATGTTTATATGGGATGAGGAAATAGATAACGATTCTGCCTACAAGAAGAAAATGCATAAGCTTCTGGTATGTTCCTGATAAATAAACTAGGCCACTGTGTTTGGCATTTGTCTGGTACTGGAATTGAATATAACAGTGTGAATGTTCAGTTTAAAATGAGTATTGTTTGAGATGGACACATTAATATTTGTAGCTCCCTGCAAATCATGGCTTGGAAACCAGGAGTCAGGGGCCCTTGCTTGCTCGCACATGCTTTAGCTTGTGGTGGTGGTAGTAGTTTCCTTTCTTGAAAATCTTGTTTTCATGCTACACATAGAGTCATACGAGGTAAAAGCAAAATAGAAATAAAAAGTATTTAAAGATTAAAAACATGGTAGCACCTTAAAGACTAGCTTTTGCATTTGTTAATGTGGGTTTTCGCAGAAAAGTCATAATCCTGGTTTACTTCAAACTATGGCTACAATTTCTAATTTACAATCTTAGATGTATTTTTGCAGAGAAGTTCAGTGTCAAGGAAGGAAAGGAAAGGAATGCTATGGAGAGGGAAGGAAAGGGAGCATCTTTCATGAGGCTAACTTTTAAATTTGCAGAACATAGTTTATTGTGATGTTTTATCTGCATTAGGCCATTCCAAGCATTCTGAGTGTTAATGCCTTAAAACAACAGCTTTTGTATTTATATGGTAGTACAACCTAGCAATATTAATGCTGTTGACAGTTGTATCTATTCCAAGAACTTACAAATGTTTCCTGTATTTGCTGCTGTATATGGATTCTAGTTCTTTTTTTAACAGTCATAAGCAAAGCTGGAGTTTTTAGAATCGCTGGCATTCCAGCTTTGTATTAGGGCACCAAAACTTCCATGCCAAAGGATTTGTGTACAAAGCTCAAGTTTTTTCCATTGCTACAAACATTCCTGCCATTATTCAAAGCATTACTGTCGCAGTAATGTCAACAAGTCAAACTTTATACCCAAATTGGTATGTGGTGCAAAGTCTGGTACATAGATCCAGATTTTTTAAAGGAGATACCTGATGCCTTTATAACTAGCCAAAGAAACTGCAGCATGCCTCTTCCCTTTGTAACTCACATGGTCTCAAGACCACAGCTGTCAATATTAAGAGTCCGACCAAAACAAAAAACCATTAAGTACCTCTTTTAGACTCAGTACCTTCTCAGCTTCTATAAACCATGAGAACAACATAGCTTGCCAGATTCCCTGCATTATTGGGTTGTGGGCTCTGTGCTTCACATAAAAGTTCTGTACCTGGGTAGAGCACCATTTTAGTACATAAAGGACATAATTTTGGTAGCATATGTAGCCCTTTTGCCTGTGAGCTGGAGGCCTTGCTTTGGCTTTGGGAGCCTATTCTTTCTTTTTTTTTTTCTTCTTATGTTTAAAGCTGTTTGTATAACTCCTTGGGATTTTTCTTCTTCTTCACGTCTTTGTTTCTCTTGCTGTTTCTTTGTTTGCCACTGTTTAAAGGCCTGTAGTCTTTAGTCTGTCAAAGAACCTCCTAAGATGTCTGTCTATAAATATCCAGCTCTTCTGTTACTGTTGTTGGCTTTGCCAGTGAATCTGACATCATACCAAGATACCTTGGATCTTAGAGCAGTATGTGTCCATATCAAGTCTCCTGAACTAATAGTTGTAAATCTGGCTGAGTCTGTAGCTACGGCTGTCTTACAGAAACAGACATCCTGAAGGCATGACTATCTCTGGCCCTCTATTAGATGAAAGCCATTTGTGAACACCAGAATTTTCTGTCTTTTCAGCTTACTATAGTGGACCCAGGCCTTTCTCTTGTAGAAGTTGTACAGTGCCGTCTTTGAATCCAGATTTTCCATCTTGAGATTTCACCAGTACCCATGCATGGTTATAGAAGGTGTTCAGAGTGTCAGTTTCGCATTAGAAGAATCAGAAAAGAGTTGATACTAAGAGCAGGCCTGTATATGTCCACTCAACCTATACCAGCACTCCTATTGGCGTAGATTAAATCTATCATTCTCACTGAGTAACAAGAAGAGTTAGTGAAGTGTGTGCTTTAATGGTGGCTGTATTTCTTTCAGTATCCATTTGTGTGTATTCACACAACCTGCCAGTCCTCCTTTCTCAAGGCACATCTGCGTCTTATTTTTGGCCAGTGTGGCAGTGATTTCTTGTACTGGGTGATAGCTTTGACTTGATTCTTGGATACTGCAGGGCAGGAACAAGGCTCCTGCCAAAACTTTAGGCTCTTACAGATGCAGAACTCATAATTGTGAATGCTCAGGAGACCACTTGACGAACCACAATTAATGGTGCGCAGCTGTCCTTCCTATTCTTCCTAATATCCAAGTCTAATGTTTTCCTGTTGCTGTGGAGTTGAGACATTAGATCCATATGGGTTCATACCCATATGTGCAAAATGAGTGCAAGAGATCTGGAGCTTGGAAACAATGCATTAGTTTGATATTTTTAACATTAAAATAGTGATATTTTTATGAAAAAGGAAATCAAGCTTTGTATGACTCTGAAATATTTAATTTAAAGTATCTTTAAAATATTTTAATGTTAATTTTTTTAAAAAAAGATTAGGTGCGTTCTCCTGTTTAATACCAAAGTAATGACTTCAGCATCTTTGCATTAAATCTAATGCATTATTTCCATGCTCAGAAAGAAATCTAGAAAGCTGCTGGAGTGGGAGAGAGATGCCACACTCTAGTAAAACAGTATATGTCATGGTACCGTGTTTCCCCAAAAATAAGACAGGGTCTTATATTAATTTTTGCTCCAGAAAACGCATTAAGGCTTATTTTCAGGGGATTTTTTTCATGTACAACAATCTACATTTATTCAAATATGGTTATGTCATCTTCTGGTTGCTGCACAATGGTGGAGGGGGGGGTTTCACTTAAGTGGAGCTTATTTTGGGGGTAGGGCTTATATTACAAGCATCCTGAAAAATCCTACTAGGGCTTATTTTCAGGTTAGGGCTTATTTTTGGGAAAACAGGGTATGTCACTATAATTATGTGTAAAGATTGAGGAGCCCATCTGTGATAGGCAGAGGCAGTGCTGATAGGCATAGCCCACGAGCTCCTTCTCTGTGCCTTTCTTTCCCTTCAAAGCTTAGCATTAATGGTGGTGCATTATGTCTACATTACCATTCACAACAGTTAGCTTTGAAATTAGGCTGGAAGCTGGAGAGTAGAAAGCTGGTTAGTTCTGGTGGAGATATATAATACTATTCCATAAGTAAGATCAGCTGGGGAAGTTAAAGGGTAGTTCCTATGTCCAGTGGTGGGAAGGAAATACTAGCATGTGGAACACTCCTGATTAGATCATTAGCATTATGTGTGCTTCAGGCTTAGCATGACAGAAGACTTCTTGCAAAACAAAAAAACAAAAACAAAAAACATATTATGCGTGCTTCAGGCTTAGCATGACAGAGGACTTCTTGCAAAACAAAAAACAGTGTTGTAATGCCTTAACAGTGTTTTGTAAAGTATGGATGAGCTTTCCAGTAACTCTACTAGGAATAACTAGGAAGGGGCTCAAGTGGGCTGGCTGCTTGTATTGATCTTGTGATGTAATCTATAAGGCTGTGGAAAGAGATACTTTGTGATTTTGTACTTGACAGCTGGATAATGTGCTGTGATAATGACATGGCTTGTAACTGGCTATTTCTTTGGAGCAAGTTTGTCAGATTTTTAAATGAAACCTTAAGGCCAGAATTTTGTTTCGAACACATACATACAGGCACACACTGGTAATTGGGCAAATGGTTTCCACCCTTTCCTGGGATGTCTGTTGCACAGCTATTTGTGATATCAGTTGTGCAGTGGATACCCTGGCAAGAGGGAAATGCTTATATAAACAGGTGGCAATCATGGAGCAGACAGTCTGTTGTGTAGTGTGATTTGTATAGGGAGGTAGATTTTTATTTTGAAATATAATGCAGATGATGCCTTTGATCTTCCTAGATATGGCATAGGAATTGCTGGCATTTTCTCACTAGCCTTGCTTCTTATTCTGTGCCTCGTACTAGCAGCATAGGATAAGGAAATTATTCAGATGAAAATGTAATATTAAATCCCAACAGTTGGAATTAGACTTTAGGGGACAGAGTGCTGGAAGATCTATATGTTTAACTGAGGCATTGCTTACATTTTCATTTTGAAAGCCTAACTGCACTTTATAGTATCATATTTTTCTGTATAAAAGATGACCCAATATATAAGACAACCCCCACTTTTCCAACCCCAAATAAGAAAATTTGATCGCTGTTTTCCCCCTCCACTTCCTAAGCCCTGCAAAAGCAGGATCAAAGGGCTGCGGAAGTGGAGGGGGAAAGCAGCAATGAAATGGCTTAGGAATTGGCAGGGAAAGCAGCGATCAAAGGGCTGCATTATCAAAGGGCTTTGATCCCTTCCCCCTCTTATTTCTCTGTATAAGACAACACTCAATTTTTAGTCTGAAGATTTTAGATAAAAGTATTGTCTTATACACAGGAAAATATGGTAACCGTCATCAATTCTTACTTATGAACTCTATATCTCAGTTATAACGTATTTCCCCGAAAATAAGACAGGGTCTTATATTAATTTTTGCTCCCCCCCCAAAAAAAATAAAAACAAAACGCATTAGGGCTTATTTTGGGGAAATGTTTTATTTTTTTCAAGAACAACAATCTACATTTATTCAATTACCATCATTTATTTTATTTATTATTAATTTATTCACGTTCTCCTTCCCCTTCTTTAAATGTACATGGTGCCACTTCCTCCAGGGGTGCCTCCCTCCGGTGGTGCTCGGGTTCCTCCAGTGGCAGTGCCTGGGCTGAGGCTCCTGTTGGGGCTGGCGGGCGCTGGGTTTGCTTTGAGGAAAACAAGGGCAGCAGTGAAGGGGGAGGCGTTGGTGTGGAAGGGGGCTGGGTCCTGAAGCCCGCGGGCCCAGTTGAGGAAAGGGCGGCGGCTGCTTCAACATGGCAGTGGCCCTGCCAGCAGAACTGAAGAGGGAGCCGAACAAGAGGAGGGTTAAAAGACTTACGGTAGGAGAAAGTGGGGAGGGAGAAAATAAAGGCAAGGCGGGCGGATGGCTGGCTGGCAGGGGCTGGATCTCTGAAATCGCCTCCCCCCTCCGTCCAAACTTGTGCTTTGTTAGCCTCACCTGGGCGCATGCTGGGGAAGGAGCATGCACACTACAGAGGTGCATGCTCCAAGAGCCATTGGGAATTAAGGAGCCAAGTTCCTGGTGGTGCGCAGCTCCTTCCTCCCTGGCTGCCCAGCCCCTCTGCAAGTGAGGGAGGTGGGAGAGGAAGGGAAGAAGTTTTAAGTCTCTCTTAAGGACTTGGGAGGATCCCAGTGAGTCCTTGGTGGAGGGCGGGGTTTCACTTAACTAGGGCTTATTTTCGGGGTAGGGCTTATATTACAATCATCTTGAAAAATCATACTAGGTCTTATTTTCAGGGTCGGAGTTATTTTTGGGGAAACACGGTAAATGTTTTCTTTAATGGCAGATTCCTTTATGTGAAGTTTTAGATACATGTGCTGGAGATGAGAGCTTTAGATTTTATTTCTCTTTTGCAGGTACAAATCTATGAATTAGAGGAGCACAAGATTGAAACATGGAGGGGTAAGTACTCTTTATAAAATGTTACTTTTAGAGACCCAATTTTGCTTTTTTTTTTTTTTAAGTCAGCATCATGGCACTTTTAAAGCTTTTCTTCTCCAAAATTTAGTTGTTCTTATTATACATGGCACTCCAGAAATCTTTATCTGCTTTACAGGAAACCATTTCCAAATGTTTTGGGGTTTTTTAATGGAAAATGTGAAAACATTAGAAAATGTTCATTGACATGGATCCAAATATGTAAGGCTGCAAACCTATGTGCACTTTCCTGAGATCAAGCCCATTAACATCCGTGACAGAAATGTCTTATGGTATTACCTTACCTCCCCCTCCACTAATTAACAATACCACTTTTTAAGAAATAATTAGATGAAAATTTTAAGATCTTTCAGATTTCTTGGAAATGAAAACATGTTCTTGAGTTAATTGCAGAAGTTCTTAGAAGTCAATTTATTCTTGATATTAAAGACAGTGTTACCCTTTTGAACTGTCGTGGTACGAGTGACATGAAAATACATTTCTGTAACATATGAGCACCCTTTTTACAGTATTATGGTATTCATGTGCATTGATATAGTGACCTCTTGTGGCTAGGTGCAGAACTGTCATTCTTCAATTTGTTAATTTGTGGCCTGTGTTTCCTATACACTTTTCAATACATATGGATTAGGACAGGGGTCCCCAACCTTTTTCAGCCTGTGGACCGGCTGGGAAAGGCGGGGCACCCCCCTGCAGTCATGCGCAAACAGCACTTGTGCTCATGCTCTCTCGCTTATGCGGGGCACTGGCTTATGCGCAAATTCTGGTGTGGTGCTTGCATGGATGTGCTGGAGCGTGTGTGCATGCACAAACTAGCTGTGCAAGGGTGAGTGCCTGCAGGGGGTGGGAGGTCTGTCTCCGCGGCCTGGTCTGGCTCAGGCCACAGACCGGCACCAGGCCACAGACCGGGTGTTGGGGATCTCTGGATTAGGAAACATAGAAGAAACCAGCCATTTCTCTCTCCTCTTACTGTAATTATATAAACATCTCTGGATTAAATGTCAAGAAAGTTCATTTTCTTACAGCAAGAATACTTAATCTAACAATTTATGTTTTGTTGTTTTTGTTATTTATTAAAGTATTCATACTGTTTTTAATTACACAGAACTTTATTTACAAGAAACTTTTAAGCCTTTAGTGAATATTTCACCTGATGCAAGGTACTGTAAATTGTTTTTCTTATTTTAGTTATTTTTTTTAAAAAAAAGACGTGTAAATGGTATCACTGCATATATTACAGAGCTGAAAGAGACTGCCTATAACAATCCCTTTTAAAAAATTTCTCACTACATGGTGGGCACAAATCCAAAAAATGGTGGTTGATGGTTTTGATTTGTGATTAGAGATGGGGGTATCCATATACGAATACCCCCATCTCTATTTGTGATTCATCAAGGTTGAAAAATTACTTTTTTTTCCTGAAAAAATGACAAATTGATTCATCAGTTTTTTTTACTTTAAAACCCTGTAAAACATGCCCTGCCAGTCACCTAGAGACACCAAATTCACAGGGACGTGTTCCTTGATTCTCCTCTACACGCCCTGCAAGTTTGATGAAATTTAGAATTTGGACATCTGAGTTATACACCCACACAGAGCACACACACACCCGCGGAAGTTTCCCCCCAGGCACCTAGAGACACCAAAATGACAAGGGAGCTTCTACTGACTCTCCTCTACAATCCCTCCAAGTTTGGTGAAGACTGGGTTTCAGTCATCCAAGTTATACACCCACAAAGTGGGTCCCCCCAGGAAAGTACCCTTTAGCAGCTGGCGTGAGGAAACCAAATCTTTGCCAAATAAATACACAAATCAAAAATCGCTAAAATTTTGTTACTTCATATTTGTGGGGGGCATTGATTTGTATGAATACAAATCAATGAATTAATGATTTTTTAAAACAAATTTGGTGATTCATTTTTTTAATTTGTGCCCATCTCTAATGGAGATCATTATAGATAATGTAAGAATCTTAATTTCTAATTTGATTTTCCAAACATAATCTTGCATTCTGATCATTCAGTAAGATATGATGGTCATGGATTTTCATTGCTCCCATCCCTGCTGTTTTTTTTTCCCAATGTGTTCCTTTGTTTGTTGATAACTTATCAGTACTGTGTACAAACGCAGAGGCTTGCTGGACCATAATTAGCCATATTTTTGTTATGTTGTTTCATGTCAGCCCTGAGTTTTCTAGCAAACAAAATATTTGGCCCCTATTAGCTTTCCTGATCTTGTTTTGACTAATAGGATTTGAAATAAAATTGATATTAAACTGTGGTATAGCTTGTCTGATCACTGTGAAATGAAAGTGTATGCCATTAAAGATGATCTAGCCCAGCCATTCTCAACCATATTTTGGCCATAAACACAATGTGAAAATAATGTAGGCTGAATCGGAATTGTATAAGTTGCATAGTGAATCTTAAAGATGGTGTGTGGAGAATTGTTTCCAATCTGTGGCCCCCTTAAAATGTGCAATAGTCCCCACTGAGAATGGCTTGGCTTGACATTTCTGTATAGCGTTGGAATGAACTATTAAGTCATTTTTTCATGTTATAGCAGAATATATTAATAGTTCCATTAACTTTCTCTCCAGCCTTTTTGATGCTGTATACTCACTGATCAAAAACAAAATCCACAGATTGCCAGTTATTGACCCTGTTAGTGGAAATGCACTTTATATACTTACCCATAAAAGAATACTCAAGTTTCTCCAGCTTTTTGTGAGTAGACTCATTTTCTTCTCATACTCCTTGATCTTAAAGTAGACAAAATTGTCAATGTAAAGTCAATAAACAGCTATATTGAGATAATCTCTCATCTTTCATCTTTCTTTGTTCAGTATTACTTTGCCTAACTCAGAAATAGTAAGCATGCAGGAAAAGTGAAAATGGTTCCTGGTGTCTTTTTTCATGTAGTTAGTGCTCACTACTGGATTTCCCCAAAAATAAGACAGGGTCCTATATTAATTTTTGCTCCAAAAAACACATTAGGGCTTATTTTCAGGGGATGTTTTATTTCACAGTCATGTCATCTTCTGGTTGCTGCACAAGGGTGGAAGGTGGGGTTTCACTTAACTAAGGCTTATTTTCAGGGTAGGGCTTATATTATGAGCATCCTGAAAAATCGTACTAGGGCTTATTTTCAGGTTATATCATTTCGAGGAAACAGGGTTTTATTTTAAAATACGATGTAGATAACTGTGCATAAATAATTTTAATCGGTATATTTGTGCAACTGGGTATTATCTAAAAAGAGACTAAAATCGTCCAGGACTTTTGTAGGTAACACTGAAGAGCATCTTGTGTTTCATGACAAGTGAAAGGAAAGGAGAGATTGGCTTAATGTACAGTGTTGCACAGATTTAGAACCTTTTATTTTGAGAATTTCTAGAAATATTCCTAATGATTTATGATAATCATTTATGATAATCATAATCAAAAAGGAGCCTCGTGGTTCATTGGTTAAGCTGCTCTACTGCAGCCAAAACTGTGCTCACAACCCAGGGTTCTGTCCTGGGTAGCAGGCTCAAGGTTGATTCAGTCTTCTATCCTTCCGAGGTTGGTAAAATGAGTACCCAGCTTGCAGGCAGGATGGGGGGGGGGGAATGTGTAGCTTGCATAATTAACTTGTAAACCAACCAAAGAGTGCTTTAAGTGCTGTGGGGCAGTATATAAGCAGCACACTTTGCTTTCACTTTTTAAAAAAATCTGATTGCTGATTATTTTTCTTCTCTTCCTTATAAAATGGGTCTTCAGGGATCAGTTACTGATCATAGGATACCACTTTTGCTGCAGACAAATGCCACATCTGTCTTGTTCCAAGCATGCCTTCTTTTCTTTTTTTAAGGGAGTTTTTAAAACATATACATAGCATAGGAAAACAGAAGATAGCGATTTCAACCATGTATGTCTTCTACAAGCAAACACCACTGCTTTGGGTCACAAACTATAGCTTAATAATGCATGCTAACGCACTTTTCCCCCTTTTGTGCAAAGGGATAAATGGACTGATTTGTGTGATGTCTTAAAACAGAAACATGGTTTATTGCACTCAAATGAATGAGGACTTCTAAACTGGCTTTAAAACAGAGATTGTTGTTGAATTATGAATTTTTCATTTGTTTACCTGTACAAATGAGGGAAGTGGTGCAGCTCAATTACTGAAATCAATGAGACTTGAGTTCAGCTAACATAGTCTCACTGCAGCCTTGTGCAGACATAGGTCTTCATAATAACGACTTTGGGTGGGGAATGTTGATAGGATTGGAACCAAAATTAGTGCCGCTGAGAAAAACACGAGAGCTACTGGCATATTCAAGAGAGTCGCAAAGTTGGAAGATGTTCAGATTAAACATATATGGAACAGTAAATGTAAAAACAGCAAAGGGAATGTCCAAGTGATGCTCAGCTTGTGGGGATATATGGGGGCTTAAGTACACAGCCCTGGAGAGCAAGTAGACAAGCTCTGGATCATATTAAACAGCTCTCTCAAAATGGCAGCATGTCTGGGACAGGAAGAGGTGCCTTTCAGTCACAATGTCCCACAGTTACAAATGACACTTGTAGTCTGCATTGAATAATAGGATGTGTTATCAAGGTGATCTTGTGTATTTCCTCAGATCAACATATAGAACAACGCATAATCCTATCATATGCAATGTGGGCAAAATATCATGGGACTGTGAATGAGAACTTAGTCTCAGAGTACAGTGGTACCTTGCAAGACGATTACCCCGCAAAACGGTTTTTTCGCTAGACGTTGACTTTTTGCGATCACTATAGCAATTCGCAAAATGGTTTTTCCTATGGGGGATTTCGCTGGACGATCATTTGGTCCATGCTTCGCAAACCATTTTTTCATAAGACGACGATTTTCACAGCTGATGGCGGCTTCGCAAAATGGCTTCCCTATGGGCGATCTTCTCAAAACGGGTGTTTTCGGGACCGATGCTTCGCAAGACAGCAATTTAAACAGCTGATCGGCACTTTGCAAAATGGCTTCCCTATGGGTGATTTTTGCTGGATGAAGACTATTTCCCCCCATTGGAATGCATTAAGCGGGTTTCAATGCATTCCAATGGGGAAACACTTCGCTAGACAATGTTTTCGCTAAACAGCGATTTCAATGGAACGGATTAACATCGTCTAGAGAGACACCACTAATATTGGATGAGGTTTTTCCAGGTTTGGTTTACACACTAATCTTAAGATTATCAAGCCATTTAAAGATACTTTAAATCTTTGAAAGGCATTCTAAGGAAATAAATTCTTTTTTCCCTGTATATTGTCTTTGCTGTATAGCTTTACATATATAAAATGTGATTGTCAAACAAGTGATTCATTATTATTACGTCTACATTTTTTTTAGGTGTCAGAAATGCCAAAGCCTGCTTTTATGAAGAAAAATCTGGATGAACTTGGAATAGGAACATATGATAATATTGCCTTTATACACCCAGACACTCCTATCATTAAAGCTTTGAATATATTTGTAGATAGAAGGATATCGGCACTACCCGTAGTGGATGAGTCAGGTGTGTATTAAGAAGAAAATATGATATCCCGTGGAAAGAGTTGATTTGTTTTGCTAGTAGTTTCCTTTCTCAGAAACTAAATGCTGTGAGCCCTGCTCAAAAAGAAAAGTTTTTAAGAGGACATTGCAGTATTTATTAATGTCTGTGATGAACATCTTGCCTGTATCAATGGCTTATCTTTTGCCTTCAATGATTCTTTAAAACAAAAAGCTGATGCATGTAAATACCTTCACGGCATAACCCTCATCAGAACCTGTGAGGCCCAAAATGAAAAAAAAGTCCTTTGTCTTGTCTTCCAGTTCAGTGGAGACATTCTTAATTTGCATAAGTGTCTCTTCACATTTGCTATTCAGACACCGTAAATTTTCTTTCCATTTTTCCTCCCATTCTCCTTCCATGTTTCTATCTCTCCCTGATAGTGTTCATGCTGAAAATTCTGTTTGTTCCTTAAGTACTTTGTCCTAGTTCACTTATTTCACTGACACTGCATCCTGCACCTTTTTATTCAAATGTAGACACATACGGTGTGACAATTTAGATCTCCGAGTCTCATGTACACACTTCCTTGGAAAGAAGTGCCCTTGAACTCTGGACTGACTTTTGAAAAAGAAATAAGCATGGCATTTGGCTGAAAACCTGTTAATAATATAGAAGTGAGATGTAGGAAACAATCTTGTGTTGAAATCAGTTGTTTCTTGAAGTTCCTTTGCTGAACTCTTCTCCCTGATGTTTACAGCCAATGTTGGTATTCCTTCAGTCTGAAATTCAGTATTTGAATCGTGATCTTTTCTTCTGTTAATCCCTCTCTTTGCTCCCCTTTTCTTCCCAAGAATGTCTCCTTAAACTCCTCCAGAACTAGTTTATTTAGTCTGTTTTTTGAGATTTAAAGAATTTCCCCATCATACCTATTTGTATGTATATACTTAGACTGATGAATTACCTCTCAGATCAAAAAGGGCGCTCAGCTTGATCTGCATTTTAAAACTGTTAAAAAAACTTGCAATATAAGTGAGAGATGCGGGAGACACAGTTTGGTATGACTAGGTTTGCCTTGTCCAGGAATGGACACACTGGCAAAATAGACAACGTTGGGTGAAGGTTCCCTTCCCCAGAGTAGCTTACTTGACTATCCAGATATTCTGCTGAACATAGCAGCACTTCCAAGATGCAGATTTTCCAAGAGGCAGGGTGTGCAACTCCATCGTGAACAGGCTTTATGGCAGCCCTACGTTAGTTTGTCACAGATCTGTAGTATTTTTGCCTTTTCCAGGTACAACCTTCAGCACCATATTGAACCCGTTAATGTTTCCAAATTACAGTTCAGGATTTCAGCAGGATTCTTCTGTTAAGAAAGAGAGAGAAAATAAGTATCATTAGGATACTAATTAGACCCAAACTTTGGGTGATCTCTCACAGTGGTTTTATAGAGATAATAAATACCACAGAGGTCAAACAATATCCCATAAGAACATAAGAAGAGCCCTACTGGATCAGGCCAAGGGCCCATCTAATCTAGTCCAGCTTCCTGTATCTCACGGTGGCCCCACCAGATGCCTCTGGAGGCCCACTAGACAACTAAATGCTAAAAAATCTCGTTGGTCAATGACAGTGGGACTGAGCTTTAGTTCTCTCAGTACTTTCTGAGAGAGTTCAGTTAGATAAGATCAGTGCTCATCGCTTTGTCCCGTACTGTCCCAGTGCCCCAGAAGGAGATTCTGATTGTATCAAATGTTGCTAAGGGGTCCAGCAGAACCAACAGAAATCTCCTATCTAGTTTTCAGCATGTGCCACCCACCAAGTCTGTTTCTGTTCCAAAATTGCAGCTGGCCCCAAGTCAGAAACACTATGTTCAAGAGACCTGTATCTTCATGCCGAGGTTGCCCATTCACTTGCAACATTAATGGTCATTTTTTCCTCTCTCTCTCTTTTAAAATATACACTTCACAGTCCATGGAGGTATGCATATCAGAAAGGCTTCACCATCCCCAGAAGAATGTACTCTAAATATTTGACCGAACAATGGCCTATAATGACATGTACAGTGCTGTGCCATAAAAGATTAGCCAGTGCTTCACCATTGTTGGGGAGGGAGAAAGGGAAGATGGTGAAAATGCTGTTTGGGAAATTATTAAGCTTTAAGATTGAAACAATTCCATGGACACATATCTCTTACATCTTGGTGGAGTTTTCCACAATCTACCCAATTTCAGTCCATCAGCCAGAATCTGATGTGGCAGTTGCTCTTGGAAAAATAAATCAATAAAGAATTATTCTTTAACTTTCCATTTTTATATACTCAAGCTTAGACCATTTGGAGTATGTATATAATTGTCACTCATTTCCTGATGCATTATAATGGTCTTTCTCTTTTATTTTTAGGAAAAGTTGTAGATATTTATTCCAAATTTGATGTAATAGTAAGTATTAAATTTTTACATAATACTATGTTGCTAATTAAATGTCTGACTGTTGGTGTGTGATGATAATATATCTTGGTTCACCTTCCATAATCACTTACGGCAGAATCCTTTGTTTTTACTGGGCACACAATGATCCATTGTGTGAGGTTGTTACTTGTTGACATTTGTGCTAGAAGGCATTCCCTGTGTGCACATCGAAACCCCATTGTTCCCAACAAGCCAGTCTCCAGGTCCTGCAATTAAATCAATGACAGTTAAAATATAACGCTGGCATATTTCCTTATCAAGCTGTGGAGATTAGAAGCCCATTCTGTGGGCTTGGATGTGTTTCCCTCCCCATGTCCGTGAGTACTACTTTTCCCATCCATGTTGAGTTTTGGATATGATGATGACCAATATGTGCACTTTTCTTACCACTGGACCATATCTGGCTAGTGGATCCAGTGAAAAATGATTGGGAAAATGCTGGTGCAAATTGAAAAAGGGAAGGGAACTATGTGTGAAGGGCTGAAAAGGAGGAAACTGAAAATTGTAGAAGGTATGCAGCCTCAGTACCACTGCATGTCTGTCTGTATTTAGATTGCACTCATAGCTGCGTTGACAGCTTGTATTTGTAAAAACGGGACTTGAGTCTTGTGTTGCCACTCTTTTTCAGAATCTTGCTGCTGAAAAAACATACAATAACTTAGATATCACAGTGACACAAGCCCTCCGACACCGCTCTCAGTATTTTGAAGGTGTGGTGAAATGCAGTAAGCTGGAGACGCTGGAGACCATTGTGGATCGGATAGTTAAAGCTGAGGTGAGATCTCTTGGACTAAAGTACATTTCTGAGTAGCATTGCTAACCAGAATTCGAGCCAGTTGAATTCCAGAGGGGGCCCAGACAGCAGTGGCCTAATATTTCCAAGAGGGAACTTATATCCACCCATAATCTTGCAAAAACCACAGGGAGTTCACTATGCTTTATAGATCGTGTAGCTATATTACAGAGTATCACATTTGTATTCTTGAAGGTGTTCACGGCTGGGATCTGATGGTTGTTGTGGGTTTTTCAGGCTCTTTGTTCGTGTTCTAAAGGTGATTCTTCCTAACATTTTGCCAGTCTCTGTGGCCAGGATCTTCAGAGGACAGGATTCAGAACTCATTCTGTGATCTGGCTCTGACTTCTGTCCTCTGAAGATGCCGGCCACAGAGACTGGCGAAACGTTAGGAAGAACAACCTTCAGAACACGGCCAAAGAGCCTGAAAAACCCACAACAACCATCAGTATCAGATTTCTTAATTACCATGCTGAATGAAGTGTGTGACTCACACATGAGAATTCTTGTGCTACCTCAATCTTCTGGAGCTGAGCAGTACCATTTGGGCAGGAGCCCCACCAGTCATCTGAGCATGCTTGGTGGTTTCACCCAATTTTACTGCTGTTCTTTCTAAGAACACTTCTCATCTTGCAATCTTTGACTTTCATTTCTATAAAGCTTCTTATTTATTTCTTGTAGTTTTGATTTTTTGATAAGTCAGGAGGATTTCTTATGTCCTTGTTTTGGACGTTTATGGCCCAGGGTTGATATTTTTAAAATGTGCAGGTTGAGGTTTTGCCATCAGATGACTATTGAAATGTTTGCTGTGTTTGGGAGAGGCTCTTTTAACTCACCTTCAAAAAAGCAAAACACTAAACTGTACATATTTTTATGGAATTTTATTATTTGGAAATATTCCTGTAACATGGCTGTTGAATGTTTCAACAGTTTTTCCTAATAATGGAGAGTGACTTTACTCCTAATGGGCAAAAATCATTACTGTGAAAATGAGCCCAGGGAGAGATTGAAAGTTTTTGTTCTGAGCTTTAAAACAAGCAGTTCAGAGTTTCTGAATATCAGGGTAACTGTAATTAAATTATAATTAGTGCGAACAGGATCTGTACCTGTAGTTATTGAAATGACTGGGGGACTTTTTTGGTTACCAAAAGAGAGATAGAATAAACAAGTGATGTGGGGAAATTTCTCACTCTTGGTTCCCCTTGCTTGTTTGGGGAGTGGGGATGAAAGGAGGTTTGAGACAGGATTAGTGAGTCCCTGCAGTCCAATTAGTATTGGGAAAAGCCGGATTTAGACTAGAGATAGTGTTATAATCTAATGCACTTTGGGATGATTGGGTTGGAGTCTAGCCAAATTTGATAAAGGCTCCAGCAGAGAAAACTGTTACAGTAATTTTTGAAAGTATATGGTGGTATTGATTGCACAAAGTCATTTCTTAGCTGTTTTGCAGACAGCAAAGAAATGTGAGAATCAAAAATTTAAAGGGGTTTAATCTACGGCTTACTGAATCTGACAGACAGACATTATATGTAAAAACTATAATTTTTGTCATTTCAACAAGTTAATCAAATATTAGTTTGCAAGATCATGTTGCGGAAACATGATTGCATGTATGCTCTTAGAAAACATTTCAATGAATTTTTATTGCATAAATTCTGTGTGACAGCTAATATCTTTGAAAAAAAGGATAAAAAATATAAAACCTGTTGAACAGATGTTCTCCTTTAATGCAGACCAGTTCCTTCTTGATGAATATACACACTAGGTGCTTCAACTGTAATTTTTGAAATACTGTGTTTTATATGCTTCTGTATTGCAGGATAAAACATGAGATAGTACCAGTACGTGGTAACAGGCATAGTAATCTCATAGGCAAAACTTAAGACCAGATTTGGCCATCTTCTCCTTTTCAATTTATTAGAAAATAGGGTTCAATAATAGTTGTTGTGGGTTTTTCGGGCTCTTTGGCC